ATGTATGAAGCAAACCAACCTTCCCAATCTTTTTTTTTTCCCCCATTTTGACCATTATTTCAAAAGAAGTGAGATTGGGAGTTATCCCAGACCTGTTCATTCTCCCCCCCACCTTCCAGGAAACATAATCCTTGGGTTCTTCCATGTGCTAGACTATGTGTCATCTCCATCAGAAATAAAAGTATATTATTATTAGAATATTTGTTTTGTATACATTAGTGATAAAGTCAAATGAAGCAACTTCTCTTACCTGTGTCTTACCTAATTAAAGTCAGCTTACTTTCAACCAGAATTTAGCCTGTGTTGTTTAACTAGTTCTAATGGTTTGATTTACCATACTCACTGAAAAAGTATGAAATAAAACCTCTATTCCTCTGGCTCTAACTGTAAATATTTTTTTTTTTTTCTTCACAATTAACCTTCAGTGTTAGGACAGGAATTATTACCTTTTCCCTGCTGTGTTATCTTCTTAAAAATTCCAAGCAATTCTGTTATCAATGAATTTTATTCTTTAAATGGTTAGCAGTTCTCTTAGTATCTCACCTAATGAGATAGCTGTGCCCTACCAATTGGTAGATAACAGCTGGCCGTGAATACTTCAGCCTTACAGTCAGAAAATCAGATCCAGTGGCAGCAGAGAGAACATTGTTCCCTAAAGCAATGTAAATGACAGTGTTTCAGGTCTGATGGGGCTTTTCATTGCATTTCACCGTTAATAATATAGGACATTTACACACATCATATTTTTATAAGTTTGGAGGTAACAGGAATTGTAAGATGGGTGATAGCCTTCACTCCTACATAAAGTTTGAGTGAATCCCTTGCGCTCTTACCTGTTTAAGGACTTCTGCTAGGTATTTCGGGGAGCAGCTACGCTGTCTGTCTCTACCACAAAGATACCCGTCTTCTTTATTTGCAAGTTCTGATGTAATTTATTTAACATCTGCAATACTGTGCAGAGGAAAACCGTGCTGAACAGTCGCAGAAATGAATTATTAATTAATTAATTGGCTTGTAACCATCTAGCTGTTCACTAAGTAGTATAGCCAGTCTGCCCATCACCATTCCTTTCATCTCCTTGGTTCTTTCCTTTTTTCAGCCTTCAAGTTTCTTACAATCAGTCATTCTATGTTGATTGAAATCACAATGTTAATTCTTTGCGGACTGAAGAATCTAAGTGTTTCTTTAATAATCTTAGCAATTAATAATAAGGAGAAGAGCGATTACAACTTTTTCTGGATGGGAAAGGGAGACCAAGAGAGAAAAACAGGGTGAGAAAAGGAGTTCTTGGTCTGATTAGTTTCTGAACATTTGCTGTGAAAATGGACTTGCTCTGCAATGCAAGTCAAGGGAAATGACATTATAGAGGGTCCATATAGCTGTTTGTTGCCTGATTAATTAGAACTGGTTTTCCTTCATCTAGTTCTCTGCCACCACTCTCCTACTTATTTGCCAGTCTTTGAGCAGGTTTTGTTTGGGTTTTTTGCAGGTCAGAATTAGCTTCCTGCTGTGATGCAGTTCACAATTTTATTGCTTCTCAAAACAACACCCCACTGGGAAGTAACATGAGTTATGAAGTGGATAGTAAAAAGGCCATCCTCATTACAGAGGACATTTTTAAGATGCTGCCTATGGTAAGAACTGTATCTTTACCTGTTATTATAATTGCAGTATCATACATATTTTGGGTTAGTAATAGAGCTGCTTTATTTGATTCCTCTGGAAGAGACCTTTCGCCCCGTGAATGCACATCTTTGTTCACCTTCTAAGACTTTTTTTTTTGAGCCTTTTCTGCAGTGATGGAGGCATGGACAGGGTATCATATATCAGCTTGTAGGCAGAGTTGCTACAGAACACAAGTTGCAGCCTGGCTTGGCAGCTAGCTGAATTCGGCAGTGAATCCTCTGAGATCACTTGCCTTGCTTTTCTCATTCCCATTTTCAAAGGCATTTCAGTCTGGAACAACATTTCATATTCCTCGTATTACCTTGTCATTTCCAGTGCAGGCTTGTGCCTATAACTTAGGAAAGCTACTTTGGTAGTAAACCTGTTACTGAATAGAATAAAATAGAATAGAATAGAATAGAATAGAACTAGACTATTTCAGTTGTGAGGAACTTACAACGATCATCTAGTCCAACTGCCTGATCACTTCAGGGCTCCAACAGTTGTGTTGTTGAGCGCATTGTCCAAATGCCTTTCCAGCACTGACAGGCTTGGGACATCGTCCTCCTCTCTAGGAAGTCTGTTCCAGTGCTTGACCACCTTCTCAGTAAAGAAATGCTTCCTCATGTCCGGTCTAAACCTCCTCTGCCGCAGCTTTGAATCATTCCTATTTGTCCTAGCACTGGATAGAGGGAGAAGAGATTAGGACCTCCCTCTCCTCTTCCCCTCCTCAGGAAGCTGTATAGAGCAATGAGGTTGCCCCTCAGCCTCCTTTTCTCCAAACTAGACCAGCCCAAAGCCCTTAGCTGTTCCTCATAGGACTTTCCTTCCAGCCCTTTTACCAGCATTATTGCCCACTGGGGTGGGGCCTTTGCAGCCAGAAACACAGGTTGGGCAAAGGAATGAGATTTTGTAGCTCAGGACTTACAGTAGACATACAAGCTCTGGAGACCAAATTGGGGCACAAAGATGTACTTAATTTCTCAAAAGTAATAGCACATGGGGTACCTCTTACCCATCTCTGGTGTTCTTGATTTGTGAGGTCCCAGCTACCATGCGTCTAGTCCTTTCCAATGCTGGTGTGAATCACTAAAAACTTCACTGCAATAGAGATTATGGTGGTTCCAAATTTAAACTGAATGAAAGAAAAAAGTAGTGTGTTCTATGTGCATATGTACTTGCCAGAGTTGTCTGGTACTTTGTGTACTACTGTCTTTTTATAATTGAATAAAATACTTGAACGTGTTCTTTCGTAATATATTGCCAGGCAACATGATGTCTGCCACTTTCCCCACACTTTTTGTCTTGTTCATAACAGTGTCCCTTCCTGCTTCTCTTTGGGCAAGCTGATGAGAGAATGAGGAAGGATAACACTTTGTGTAAGCAAGTTTTGACTCAGTTTTACAATTAGGTTCAGTTTCTACAGTGAAAGTAACCCAGCTGTTGGCTTCTCAGTTGAATGTCAGTGCTCACACAGCAGGAGAGGCTGAACAAGATGTATGAGATGTTTCTGAGACAGTGGGATAACAGCCAACTGTATTAATGTCAACTGAAATAGCCAACAATTCACGTTAATTTGCTAGGTTATGATCTGTGCTGGTTCTCAAGTGGATGCACTTAGCTCCCATTCAGCTTCCCCACTGCAAGACAGGAACCTCTAACAAGGAGTGGAGAGGGTGAACAGCCAGAAACAGTAACCTCTTCAGTTAGCCATCATGTTCACCAGGAGTTAAGCCAGGGCACATGATTATCCTTTACAGCGTCTTCAGGTTCCCCTAAATTTGTTACTTTACATCAAGTGTAATTGCGTGATGACAAAGTAATGAGAATTTACGAAGTTAGCTTCTATTAACTGACAAAGCCAATGAGTGTGTGACAACCCCCTGTATGTTACAGTGCAAAGGACAATGGGTAAATTTGGACTGTCTTCAGTACAAGTTAGTCCCTTAGCTTGTCAAGGATTCAGTCCGCTGCTAGATAATTTTTGTGTTAAGTGTATTTAAAAGATATTCATCCAGTTTTAACAATCTAATGTTATTCCCTCAAAGTACTGACGACAGAAGTAGCAGTATTCAGTCTGTTGGTGCCTATTTTTGGCTCTTGGCTGTCCAGACCTGGCAACTCTGTCTGCTAAATAGTGAATGCTTTCACTGGGATTTACTGGATTAAACCTGCAAGGACGACTAAAGACGCAAAGAAACGATCAAAAGATTTATCAGGCATTGGCTATGTTTTTATTTGTTTGCAGTCCTCTCCTCTTTCAGTCTATCCCTTCAAGACCTGTGCCGTGGTTGGAAATGGAGGCATTCTGAAAAATTCCAGCTGCGGAGCTGAAATCGATCGTTCTGACTTTGTGTTTAGGTAAGAGCTGCTTTGTCTTACTGAAGTGTGTCAAATGTTTCTAAAAACTTGGCAGGCTTGGAAGCATGCCAATGCCAGTTTGCAGCAATGAGGAAGGATCTTAACAATTCTTTATTTCTGCCTCTCTTAAGGATCCTCCTTCTGCTTTGTAGATTTCAGAATGCTGCTTCCCAAGTAAAGGGTGGACCATACAGATACATGTATGATCTATAATTGCAAAGATACCTTGCCAGTGATGTGGAACGTGATTATCTGAGAACTTGAAATTTCTGTTCATTTAACATCCTTTAGGAGAGGGAACTTTTTCTTTCTTTTTTCTTTTTTTTTTTTTTTTTTTTAATCATGAGAAGAGAATAGAGAAAACCCTGAAATTGAAGTAAGAAAGACTGGTATTAAATGTCACATGTTTACCTTTACCTCTGGTTTAACAAAGGGTTTACTTAGCCTTAGGTTGGCTCACTAATGCAGTTGTTTAACTGCCCTGATATTTGTTTCACCTTCTGTTAGCTGTCTAAACAATTAGACATCTAATTTAAGTAGTTTTTTCAGCTCCCTCTATAGGTGGTGGAGAAAACGGGGCATACTCAGTGGTCATTTGGACTGCTCTCTCAGTACATGACTCACACTCTAGTTCCTGCAAGGGAATAGAGTAACAGAGTGGAGGTTCTTCTCTCAGTGATGTGCAGTCACATAGTCCGCTGAATTTTGTTTCCTTTCCTACTTCTGACTAATATTTGGGCTTTTCAAATTAAAAAAAAACAAAACCAAAGTCTTTCCACTTAGAGAACTGTCTTAATGAAAATGGGCAATCTGCTTACTAAGATGCTAAACTTACTACGTGACTGACTTTAAAAAAATGCTTTCTTTACCTTTTACAGAAACCACAGTTTCTGCAATTGGGCAAGTTATGCTATTGTTGTTAGAAGACGTAATAGAAGACTTTCAGAAGAAATGCATTGTTTAGGCAAGAGGAGCAATATTTCCTAGCAGCTAACAGAGGACATTCATAGACTGGCTCCCCCTGGGATTTTAACTTTGCTCTGATTTGTGAGATGATTTATGAAAATGAGCTCTCTGTGCCCTATTTTAACCATCTGTACAGTAGATTAAATATTTTTACTAGAAGTGCTGTAAGCCTTATTTAATATTTGTAAAGTGCTTAGAGGTCCCTGGGAGCTGAAGTGGAAGTGTCATTGCACAAGAGAAGAATTTGTAAATAATAACGGTAAAGCATTTCTGGTGCACATCTGTTTAAGTAAATATTTCTCAATTTCAGGTGTAACCTCCCTCCAACCACGGGAAGCATTAGCAAAGATGTTGGCAATAAGACAAACCTTGTGACTGTTAATCCGAGTATCATAGCTCAGAAGTAAGTACTATTGCAAATCTGTTTCTGTGCAATATTGTATAATTGTTTGACATGATTTAGATTTTGTTGGAAATCCGTTGGGATAGCAGCATAGAGAGCAGTGCATGCAGATTACTTCATTAAGCCTTAGTTCCCATGTAAAATATGTACCAGTCTAAATGGGAATCTGTTAAAACTGGCCTTTTTTGTAGCAGAAAGAAGTCAGGAATACCAATTAGCAAGTGCCTCGGTTGGCACTGGTCCACAATTTATGACAGAAGATTGCAAGCCCAAGCCTCTTCTTTCCCCTCCATGACCTTCATGACCCCCAGCATAAGAAAGGAATTGTAATCATAAATCAGGAAAGCTTGGAAAAGTGTGTCCACCTCTATCAGTGGGTCTGTAAGCACGTGTTCTCAGGTAATGTGCTTAGAGGCTGTTCTGATGAAGGCTTTTTCCTGAATGGAGGCCCAATTTCTGTAATCCATTTTTTCAATCCATGTGAAAACTGCTCACACACTTTTTCTCGACAAAGTTTTTTTTTCACCTTCTTGATGAAAAGAAAATCTAATAAGGCCAGGCTGACTCACCTGACATCTTCAGCAGGCTGGAACTGCAGCTTATCTATGAAAAGGACTGCTGTGGCATGTTATTTACTGCTTACTGATCTTATTGTATTTTATCATCTGTCATACTTGTATTTGTCAAATAGACAACATCAGACAAAGCTTTTTTTTTTTTTTTTTCCTTTAAAGGAAGAAGGAGAAAGTACAGTGAGTATAGAAATGACTAACAGGTATTTGACATTGATTCAAGGATATAACTTGTTTTCTTCCAGCGAGTACTAACTACTTTGATGCTTACCCAGCCCTTTTTGACATAAATGAAGATGAATTGTTGCTTCCCCAAAAGCAGATTTAGCTCATTGATGTTAGTGGGGCTACACAAGAATATGGGGAAGGAAAACTCAGCATCATTGGTGACTATTGACCTGGTGCATGATTTGTCTGGGGTTGATCAAAGTGTTCTGCCACAGCTGCACTCATTTTTTAGCCAAGTTAAGCCACACCAGGGTTAACAGGAGTTACACTGATGGAAACAGGAGCTAAACCTGTGTGAGGACAAAATGGGATTATAAGAGGACTTAAGGATTTTGAAAAATTAATTATTTAAATATTCAGAGAACACTGTAAATGCTTTTGAAGGAAGAGCAGGAAGCAGCTTGACACCATTTAGCAGAATGTAAGTTTGTTTCTTCTCTCAGAAGACTTATTCTGACTTCATTCACTTTAATTTCTAATTCTGTGTTTGGGTACTGGGTTAGTCTGATGTTTTTATTGTTAAGGTTAATCATCTTTTGAATGATACCTGTCAGGTTGTACAATGTAGGTGAATGCTCTTGGAGGAAAGAAGCACAGTCCTTATATGTCCTAATGGAGCTGGGCTACACTGCACCTTACAGTGGCAGAGCTGGAAAGGAAAATGCCTTCAGGCTTCTAGCTAAAGAAGAACAGAGATCTGAATTCTGTCCTGAAAGCTCTTTATGTGCTTTACACAGAGTAGAAATAGAGAAAATTCTTGAAGTAGTGGCCAGAAGTTCACCCTTCAGCCACTTTTCCTAGACATAGGCTCAGGCATTTCTTGCTTGTTTTGGCTGTGCGACTCTTGCATGGACAGGGACCCAGGGTCAACAGGAAGGGCTGAGTCTCTCTCATTCATTTTGTTTCAGAGTCTGGTGGTAATGGCACTTCTTTGGGAAGCAGAAGCTGTAAGTTTAAACCCCTTCAGGCTGAGAAGGGATATATCACTCCTTGCATGAGTTCAGTTGTGCAAGAGGTAACAGATAACTCCTCTGTGAGGGTTTTGAATGGAAATGGCAGTGCTGCTGTCCTCTGTCTTGAAGTGCTCCATGAGAAGAGAGTTTGAACCTATTCAAGTTGTGAAGAGAAATGAAACCAAGGTTTCCAGTTTCTGCTGGAGCCATTTGTGAGAAGTGAGCTCTGGTAGCCCTTAAAACATGAAAACACACCGCTCAGATAGATAACTACCTACAAAAGAGGACTCAATGCATTGAATCCCAAAGGGGGTGCAAGTACCATATGTTCAGGTGATTCATACAACTCAGATCTGTAGACGAAACAAGTTGAGTGACCCCACTGTGTCTTATGTCACTTCTTGGATAACTCTGAAAGCTCAGCATTCAATATTTGGGAGCATGGAATTATCCAGTGGTGAGAACTAAGTCTCTTTCCTGGTTGCTGGGGAACCAAAGCATCTGAGGATAAATCCTCTACATTTGTGAAGTTAGATCTCTAAGTCTTTACAGATCTCCATGTGTTTGTTGCCTTTGTAGTCAAGGGAGATAAATAGACATGCCTGTATTTTCAGATATTTTAAAAGTGTATCAAAAGCAGCTAAGACCCTGCAAAACTTGAGCACACACTAAGCTTTAACACTTCAAGACTGGTCACATGCGTACTCGTATTTCCACACAGGGCAGACACCCAGATTTTGAGGAGAGGTTGTTGTATACCTGTCGATGTAAGAAAAACATTTTGCAAACTCATGCAGTACATATCATAGTGCATGCAGTTTTAAACAGAGAAAGTGTAAATATGATTTTGTTTTTGCATTCTCCCTTGAGATTTCTTGAATCGATTCCTGTAAATAGGTCCTGGTCTCATTAGCAGTGAATTTGATCTGTTTCAGTAGCTCCTGTGTTGCCAATTCAATCCTATGAAGTGTGTTCTTATTATACAATAAAGCCAGATTTTCGTAACTGCACATATGACAACGTGTAACA